GGTATATTGAATCTTCATCTATATTTGCTGATACCTATGTAATGGCTGAATTGGAAGAATTGAGAATGTGGTTAGTTTTATCTATTTAATATTTATGCGAGTTAGTTTTTAAGTTTTGTAGAAATTAATTCAAATTTTGAGTATGTTTGTTTTCTTCATCTATATAGATAAATAAAATCTAACACTGTAAATGCAGAACATGATGCAAGAAAATAAGTTATGAACAGTTAGCTAGGGATTTATTGTAAGAAATAATTACACATATATAACGAAGATAAAGATTCATTACAAAAAATGTGACAAGTGACTAGAGTAGTAATGAAATAATAGTAACTTACGTTCAAGTTTTAAACTTGAGTTAATATGACACTAGATTGTAGCAACTATTAGTCATATTTGTGTAAATAAGTTATATTTTAGTAATATTTTTGAAAAAAAAAATCCCTTATTGTAATTAGTGAACATATTTAGGCTTGATATGATTTTGTAAAGTATTTACAATTAGATCCAAGGGAGTGGTAATAATTAGGTTTTCTTGTCCAAGTTTTCCATAAATTTTACATGGTTAATTCATTTTCAAAAAGTCTAGCTAAGGCATTATTGCTTATTAATTGTACATTTCATCATCACCATCATCATCATTATCCCAGTGCCGCAAAGGCTCCCACCTTCGGTGGGGTAAGGCGTGTCAGATGCACACAATCTTACCCATGTACTAAAGCACAAAAAGACTTTTTCCGGATGACCAATTTTGAAAATCGCATGGACTGACTGCTGTTTCATAACAAAGTAGCACAGACAGTTTAGTGAGCAATTTTGCTTTATTCCATCATATTCCCAAGCCAAAAAATTGTTTAGAGATTTGTAGTATTCTTTTCAAAGATGCAGCATTATTTTTCAGCTTAAACTATCCAACTTTCACCGATTCTTCGAGTAATTTTGGTGTACACTTATAATTTCTTATCCGATACAAACTATTGTGAGTTTTTCTGTAAACAATTTTAATTTTTTTTAAAGGTATACTTATAATCTAAACCCTTGTTATTTATTATATATAACTCCATGTTATTTAAATATTGTTAAATGCTGCTCTGCAATATAAATAAGTCAAAAGAAAAATGAATCAGGGTCCCAAAAATCTGTTTGGGGTGGGTTTGGAGGGTGGGGAGCTAAATAATATGTGGAAAGGTGTATGGCATTGCTAACTGATACAGCCTTCAATAGTTGCCAGAGTGCCAAACATTGTCAGTGTTGGCTGATAAGCTAGTGTGTCATAATGTGCATTCTTAACCCCACCTCATACCTAGACACCTTAATATATAACTTATCATTGAAGTTCTATTCTTATAATGGATTCTTGTACAAACAGTTTTGTAAGAATAACTAATAAGCACTTGTATATGCAGGATCTTTACATCCATGTTGGCTGGCCTCTATATAAAAAATATGGCCATGCTTTTGAGGTGAGATCTAGTGAATTATTACTTCATGTCATTGTTCACTGATTCAGTTGTCTAATTTATACTTATCTAGATAATGGCAATATCTAACATCTGTAATTTGTACTTGTTTTTTTTTTGTTTTTTTTTCCAGGCATTCAAGCATATTGTTAATGATCCAGATTCGATTCTAAATTCCCTCACCCGCGAAGTTAAAGAAGTTGACTCTGATGGGAATGAGGTAAGCTTTATTATTACTGTTATTACGGTTGTAATGTTTGAGCATGCATCATTTCTCATTTGATTGAAAATTGGTTGAAATATTACCTTAATGCTCTAGGTAATAAAGGTGGCCCCAGCACTCTCGGAGGAAGTTAAAAATGCTTTGGTACAAAATATCAGAAGAAGAATGACTCCACAGCCATTGAAAATTCGGGCTGACATTGAGATGAAATGCTTTCAATTTGATGGTGTGCTTCACATTAAGGTGTGTTCACTTCTTCGAAATGTGAACTCTGTTTGTATCAACCATATGTACTTCAGTTTAAAATACTTACAATGAAGCTTATCGAGTGTAATGTAATTTATTATTGTTTTTTTTCATTTGAACAATTCAGGATGCAATGCGCAAAGCTGAGGCTGCCGGTAACAAGGATTGCCCTGTCAAAATTAAACTTGTAGCCCCTCCAGCATATGTTCTCAACACTCAGACTCTTGATAAGGTACAGTGTGTTATGCGTAGGTGCCCTTGGGCCATGTCTATTAGCCTGAATTCACTCAGTAGTCAGTACTACTTGTTAGGGATATGCTACCCAATAGATGCTAAGGATAGGTGTTTTTATATGTTTTTGGGTTTACCCGAGAAAAAAAAACGTACATGTTTTATATATATTCAGATTGCTTAGTCTGAAAAGTATGTATAATGGAAATAAGGAAGTTTGATCAATTTGAAACTTTAAACAAGTATCATAAATATATATGTATAGTTTGAAAGCATCATTTAATTTCCCTGGAAATTCTTTCCTTCCCTAGCATTTTCCGGCTTCCAAACCAACATATAGAACCCTATGATTAAAAGGCAAAAGTGCAAAACATTAGAGTGGGCCATGAAAGTCTGTACCGAACAAGAAATAGATACCTTTTTTTGTTTCTTTACCATGCGTGTATATAGTTTGGTCCAAATGCCAAATCTGGTATGTTTTTAACTTGTTTAATGTGTAAACTTTGTGATCTCAATGTATTGGTGAATGTCATATCTCTCATTTTGAAATGCCTTTCCTCAACTACGAGAAGTAAGGATTCCCGTGATCTGCCGCGGGTAACATGTTAGGGCAGAATACTCATGTAGAAACCGGGTGATTGCATTCAATGTTATTTTGAGGATATATTTCAATCCATCATCATTACCTGAAACTGGAATAGTTATTCTTAACTATTACGGAGTATATTCTTACCCACCAAGCAATAGCATATGCCTCTATTCCTGTTACATTATTTGTGAAGGAATAAAACTCCGTCCCCCTCTTGATATCCCCTCTTTTCATACTAAATGTGATGCTATTGCTATCTCTATATCTGGTTTTTCATGATTGATCTGTATGGCTTTATTTCCTACTACAGGAGCAAGGCATAAAGGTCCTTGAAACAGCGATTGCAGCATGCCAAGAGGAAATAGAGCGTTTCAAGGGAAAACTCACAGTGAAGGAAGCTCCTAGAGTGGTAAGTTTTATTTGGCACTCTATCATATTCTTGTTCAGTCATAATCTTGGAATCTGTTGAAGATGGTTGCTTGCGGTTCTAATGATTGTGTTAAGTAAATCTTTGGTTGTATTAGTTGAATCTGCAGAATTTATGTTATAATCTAAATAGTTCATTTTAAAAATATATACTTGAATAAAATAATAGAGTAGAGGAATAAGAATAGAAATAATTACATAAGTATGACTAAAATAGTAACTTAGTCATGATAACTTATGTTTAATTTTACACTTCAGTTACTATGAGACTATATTGTAGCAACAATTAGTCATATTTTTGTAAATAAGTTTCATTTCAGTAATATTTTTGAAAAAAACTTGAATAGAAACATCTAAAATCCCTTTCAAAAAAGAAACATCTAAAATCAAACAAAAAGCTAACGTCTTCACTGTTTTTTAGAATTTATATTTTCAGTCGATTCTTCCAGCGCAGTAAAATTAGTCCAGTATTTATTGAAAGATATGGCTGATGAGGTTCTCTATATGCTGAAACTGAATCATAGTATTGAAATATTTTATCTAAATTGTAAATAATATCATATTCTATTTTATTTACTTTTGTGAAAGAGGATGAAGCATGTGTGATCCCTATTTTATTTGCAGGTAAGTGAAAGAGAGGACAAACTGCTTGCTGAAGAGTTGAAAAAACTTGGTCGCGAGAATGATGAAGTCAGCGGTGACGAAGACAGTGATGAGGAGGAGGAAGATACAGGGATGGGAGAAATTGATGTAGAAAACTCTGGGCCTGCTATAACTGATTGAGGAATGAGTGGGTGTGTTATACAATTTTGTATTCTATGCGGCCTTAATGATATTAATTAAATAATTACCTTATACTTATTTATTAATTCACTTAGTAATGTACCAAGCTTCTGGCAAAGTACTCCAGCTTCATTTTTAATTAATTAGCTTGCAAATTTCTGCTTCGCTTAACAACTGTGTATTATTAATATTATTACTAATATTGTTGATGTCGTTGCCGTAATGCTGTCTATCTTGTTGTGAAATGATAATGATTATGGTGTTGAACAGTTGAAGTGGAAGATACCATTATTGTAGTGACTGTTTGGAGGCTTTATTCGGTCTTGTTCACTCTGCAGTCTGGAATGTTGTGGAATGTAACAATGTCTTGTTCTGTTGTTCATAGTTTTATCATTTTCGATTTTATAGCTGCTTATCAATTGGTTTTGTTATTTAGTAAACGAAAGGTGATTATGTCATTTGGTGCTGTGTTTTTTTGCTGCGGGCAAGCTCTAGCTGCTTATGGCTTGGATGAAGTCCTGCACCGAATTTTTGACATTTGGTGCGATGTGTTTGCTGCGGGCAAGCTCTAGCTGCAGCAATTTGTACGTAAAAATCAGTTAGTTGCACAAGTTTTCAAACATCCCCAGCAACTATTCTCAAAATATACACCCTTTACTGCTAGCAGCTCTTGATGTCTCGTTTTTACCAAAATTGGAACGAAATATAATGAGTTAATGACCAAGGATATCACAGCATCGCCTAGTTGCTGACTTAGCAGCCTGATGATGGAGAAGGGCTGACAGGGGTGCCGGGTGCCTCACCTGAAGAAGATAAGTTTCCTCAAGCAATAATGCAATATGGGTTTTAAAAGCAAATGGATAGTCATCGGCTCCTAAATTGAAGCATCACTAGTCGCTACTTCTCTACCCGGTGAATGCATGGGAAAGTAGAAGACGACATGTGCTACATCTCCAACTTTTGTTTTGTAATAGTTTTGAATAGAAATCACCTATATTAACATTAATAAATTAAAAATCATTACGATAGACACAAGATCATACCAGGCTCAATCAGAAGTTCAATGATTCCCAAAAAAACGTTGATCATGTAATTGTCACATATGGAGGCTTAATATTATCACGTCAATCTCTATGCTTCTAATATGATATTAAAACCTTACAATCCCTTCAAAAGGTTCAAAATGAATGAGCATTCAAAATGTAATAACAAATCTGCATGGATTGCTACAAATTGGAACATAAACCATGTCAAATCTAAACAAACAAAAGGAAGCAGAACCTAAGCAAGGGGGACTGGGGGAGGGGAACCAAAAGAGTTGATCCATCTTAGCACTTCCTTTATTGCCAATGCCTGTAAATATCACCATTGGCAAAAAGGATACCTTAACAATCCTGAGCAACCCACCCCAACCCGGTAGCTCTATGTTGAGCTTCGCTCCATCCACATGCATCTGCCTCCATATCAATAGTCCATGCTCCCACTGCTCTCTTGTTTCTGGCTGTCATTGGACTCCAGGCCAATCTTCAATAAAAGAAGCAGCTTCTTTTTCACACGTTCGACAGGAGCAAACCATGCATTCTACAATTTCTTATTTTGGTACTGCCATAAGAACCACAAATACATTACAAAACTGCATCACAGGTCACTCCCATTTTTAAGAAAAATTCTGTCACCCCGTTCTGTAAAAACGTCGCTCCCCCACCCAGCAAATTCCACCCCTACGAGCTCCAGAGGTCTTGGGTGACCCACCATACACTGGCAGAAAAGATGTAGTAAGTTTTCATTTTCTGCTGCATTAATTTTGTATTATTATATAGCAGATTAGTAATGGTGTAAACCTCTTTGAGACAAATTTAAAGTATGAATTCACATTCAGAAAACTGTCAGATAATGAGAGCTCTTGTGGTATCATGATTCTTTTTATATAGCACACAAGAAAACAAAAGTATGCACATATATATTAAAGAGTAAAGACAATAAGACAAAAACCAATATCAAAATAAATAAATAAAAACTCGAATAATCATCAAGAAATAAAAGTTCAACATTACCGAAATTGTACATATTGCAAATCACAATGCCTCCAATTGAGCACAGCCCCATGGACATAAAAAGCTTACCATTGTGGCTGTAACTTCAGGTGACCAAGTATAAAAGAAAATGTCTTGAACTAATACAATTTGTATATAGAATTTTAAATTGAGATAACTAAATTTATATTCCTAATCATACCAATTTAAATCACATCAAGTATTGCAAAATCACATTGGAACTCATGTTCTTCGATATAAGATATAAATACGGAGCATATTCTAATACTCAAATTTAATGCAAAATAAAATTGAGTAGAATCTGTAATTAGGGGAGCCTATCTTGTAGACTAGATGGACCTCAACTTGGAGCACCAAATCCAGCTTGCGCCGCTAAGTGTGTTGTGGATCCTCTAAGTCATTATCTGAAGACCAGCTTCTTCGATCCTTCAGTTTTCCAGGACCATGAAATGCAATCCCAGCGTGATTAAATAGGGACAACAAATGCACCAACTCTTCATGGGTGAGCTTTGCTGGCCTCTTATCATCAAATCCACCTGAACTTAAAATATTGACGATCATTTCCCTAAAAGAAGCCAGCGGTTCCCCCATTTCTTGACCCTGTTTCACTTCTTGCAATTCCATTAACTCAGCTAACATTCTTTTCTGCTTAAAAATCGCACCCAACGTTTTGTTCTTCTTTGTAAAACAAGTCCTTGTGAACGCCAACCATTCGTCAACATTGACATCAAGGACTGATGCTTTTGGATGGATCCTAACAACGGATGAATCAACTTTTGGGCAAGGTAAGAAGTCCCTCTTGCTCACATCCATCACCAACTCCACATCAGCCATCAGCTTCACATTTGCAGCCAACCTGTTGAATTCTGAGTCTCCTGGGTTCGCTAGTAATCTCCTTGCGAACTCCTTCTGTAGCAAAAGTGTTGCACTCCTATATGCATTTGTTCCAAACACCACTTTGGCAATCAGAGGTGATGAAATCCCGTATGGAATGTTGGCTACCATTAAATCAAACCGTGGAAACTCGGTCTTTAGTGCATCTTGGCATACTATCTAAGAAACTAACAGTAGCTAATTAAGCATCTCTCATCAAAACAATATAAATATACAAAACAATGAATTGCAAATATACAACAAACAAATCTTAATGGGCCAAATGAACAAAAAAAACAGAACAAGCTCTGGCACCATATTAGTTTGGATCCAAATATCCAATTCACTCCAAAAGGATCCTCAAAGATAAAACTAGTTTGTATTAGTTTTTGACCTAACATGCATCAGAATATGACACTTAAAAGCATGTTAAGCACCCTATAGACACAAAATATAAATATACAATCAGACATATAAAAAACAATCATTGGTGGTAGCATCTTATGGCTCAATTTGTTGCATGAAAACGAGAAGTTGGGGAAAACATGTGAGCATAGTAATGATCTTGCATCCTACAGTTAGCTCGGGCTACTAAGTATATATAATTACTGTGGTTGTTAATAAATATACGACAGTATGATACATACTAGTAGTTTTATTTTCATTTATATGTGTTCTAATTACTAAAAGTGCACTGGTCCTCCAAGTGTAAAATCTTGTGTCCTACATTAGAACATCTCCACTCATCTCCAAGTGGTCAATAAATATATATTCAACTATTCAAGGAGAGAAATTAAATTGGTAACCCGATCAATGCAATTAATTAATGTAAGAATTTACTAGTGGATGGAGACTAATAAGAGAAATCTTCCGTGTACCAAACGTGCCATTATATTGCATTCTTGAAACACAAACACTTCATTTGGACATTTTATCGAACAGTTCCCGTGAGCTAGTTATCTTACCGTTAATTTATCACGCAGGCAATGCTCAGTCGCACGTTTGTTGAGGATTTCGATCATGCGTTTATCAACCTCGATGGCTATAACCTTTTCGGCGACGTTTAGGAGCTTAAGAGTGAGATTTCCGGTTCCAGGCCCGATTTCTAGGACGGTATCAGTGGGGAGTATGTTGGATTTACTGATGATGGAGTCGAGAACTCGTGGATTAGTCAGAAGGTGTTGGCCTCTACTCTTGAGCAAGTATATGTTTGCTTCATGGTTTTCGGATTTTTTGATAATGTTGCAGTTTTCTTCTCCATCGATGTTTCTGAAGCCACGGTTTGATTTTGAACGAAAATGTATCTGAAGAAAATGACGGCAAAAGTCTTGTTTGGAGATTTGGAATAAGTGTTTACGATGAAGCATTTTGGCCTTTGTTTTCAAACTATATTGGAATGCTTTTCACTTCCAGGCAGTTCGATTTTTGAAGCACAGGAGTACGAACAAAGAAACGAGTTTCCATTATTAGCAAAACGATTTTACATCTCATTTTCATTTGACTTTGCACTCCCAAGCATCCATTTTGTGAAGAAAATTTTTTAAATGAAGTCCAAAGTCAAACGAATTTTAAGTGGAATAAGGTGCAAAATTAAAGTTTTTTCAAAACGGGATGCAAAGTCCAATTCCCCCTTCGCAAATTTAGAATAAGATCAAAAATGTGAAATGATGCAAACGTGTGAAGAAAGATAGTCAACTAAAATATCTCTTTCCTTATTCAAACAGTCTTATATAGTTTTTGTAAGTTTTTCTCAACAACTAGTATAGTACCCGTGCATCGCACGGGATATTTCTATATCACGGGATATTAAATATTATAATTATTATTAAATGTTAGTTGAAATATATTGTTTTGATGCTAAAAAAATGTTTTGATGTCAATACAAATGTCACAAAATGCTCTTTGTTTAGTTCTAACTTCCTTGTATTATTTTGGTTTATTTTCTTTATTACCTTGCAAAATTAGAATGTCATCATGTTTCCATTGGGTCTTATTTTTACTATGTCATTTGTAGGATGACTAACATTCAAACTCTAGTCCCCAAAAAGATTGGTTTCGATTAACATGAATCAACACATGAAATTGAAGCTAAGAGAATAAGAAAGATAAATAACCAAGTAAAATAAATGGTTAAGATAAGATTAAAATGCAAGTATATAAGATAAAGTTAGAAATAAGAAGACATAAAGGATAAAAATATAAGATAGAGGGACAAAAGACGAAAGTACTTAGAGATTATATATATATATATATATATATATATATATATACACACACACACACACACACATATATATAAAAACCGCTGTAATTGTGTTGAAAATTAGTCCATTCGTCACTATCAAATTTAAATTTATTAAAAGATCTTTCCTTATTGTATTTTCAATAATATTTAATGCCAAAATTTAAGCATTATGATGCAAAAAAAAAAAATCAAATATGACAAAAATTAGCAAATGCCCAGACACACTTTATTTCACTTTCAAATATAACTGACCAAACTTTAAATAATCTACAAAATTAACTTTTTTTTCAGAATCTGTCTACATAATTAACTTCTCACATCTTTTTATTGTTTCTAGAACCAAGTTTCACTGAACATAGCAACTTAAAAGACATAACCAAGTTTTAGCGAAAATCACTGTATCCCACCCCTAAGATAAACATATCCCAACTCTGATCTCGATTTATTCCATAAAAAATAACCAAGTGGACTTTTAAATTGGCCTTGGCCCTGGCCCAAATTTCCATTAGCAAAAACAATAAAAATGGATCCAATTGTAGCAAGAGACCATTTTGACGGTTTGACCCCATCAAGTGTATCCCTTGTGGACCGCTATCGGCTTGTTTCCAGTTTCCACACGCTATTGCGATCCAGCTCCTTCCCAAATACACTTCTAAGTTCCACCATTGCAGACTGCCAGTGTATTAAACAGGACTGCCCGAACCAAAATCTCTAAGGAACCCTAGCTTTCAATCTTCAATCTTCAGACACAAGGTTCAGGCTAGAATGACGGCATGTCACGTAACCTACAGCCGGTTTCGGTCTCCTTCCCGAAAGCTCCGGCCAAGAAATTTGGCGACGAAGATCATCATATCTTCTTTGATCAAAATTACTATACCAAAAACCTTCGGCTTGGCTGTTCCATTCCTCTAGAGCCAAGATTAAAGGACACGGCCTGTGAAACATTCAATGAGAAAAGCCATAAAATCAAAATTACCAACTTCGTTTTAGAGCAAATAAAAGACATTCAACATTTGTGGGTCTAGCATTTTCTATACTTGGTTCTCCATTTGGTTTGATTTGCATGTGTACGTTGCTTAATATAGGCATATTCAATTGTGACAACTAATGTTTCACACCGTGATTGCAATAAAATATATTCAATATATTTAATATATTCAATTGCTCAAGCACTTTAATACTCCGTAATATGTTGTATACTACATACGTAGTACATTGCAATAAAATTTAGGGAAACATATACTACGTATATATATGAACATTTCGTGGTCTAGAGTACGCAAGGTAGAATAATAATTAAACACAACCACTTGAATAAATTATCATCATAACTTGATGCTAATTTAAAAGACCAATTACAAAAGTAAAAAATTAAGCATAGCATCATCATCATTATCATATTTATATGTACTGGATCTTCATATTGTTTGCAAGTGATTTTATATTTCTTGGCAGTTTTATACACCTAAACTGAAAGAGGCCTAGAACTCACTTTATTTTTTTCATTGTGAGAAACGTTTATACTTTAAAGTATGAAAACTTCTTCCTTTTTTTAAAAACTACATAGAACGTTTCTAGCTACCAAAGAAAATCTAACCTCTTTTCCATGGGAGCAACTCTAGCCTCCCGGTAATCTTCTTGAACACAAAGACTTTTCATCTTTACTGCCCATATTGAGATGCTTTGGTTGAATTGGCTACTCTCAGATTCAGCTCTCGTAACGACGCCCAAGCAACTCTAATCGCAAAGATTATATATATCCATTTTTGAGGTTTGGCGAGCTGGGCTGTTTTTGGCACTAATGCCTCATTTATATGACATGTGATATGTTAATTGGGATAGTAACCGGTAACTTGATATGCATGGGGTCTTAATAAACATTAATCTCAAGTTTAAAATTTTAAATTGGAATATGGAAGGCCACATAAATAAAAACTAACATTTAATGCATTACTCTGTATTAATTACTAACTTGATACTCGTACTACAATAAAAAGCACCTAAAAAGTGCCCCATCATTAATGATGATGCAAGTTGGACGGTTGATGTATTATTCTTTCAATTAATTTGTTTCAAACTTCGCATTACACCGTTCCATTACATTACATTTATTTTGGCCAAATGCTTTACACACTTCCCGCTCAAATCTCTCATACACTATTCCGTTTTAATATATATATATAGATGTCAAACATAATATTAGATATAAACCTTGTGCTTGACATTGTTGAGAAAAACTCACCAAAACACACATAATATCGTGAAAAGGAGAGAGAAATGTTAAACATTTAATCTTTTGTGCCTATCTAAAAAAAATCTTTTATGACTGTCTCTCTCATGTTACATGTGCACCGTGCACATTGTAGCATTGAAGATGCTCTTATGTCAATATAGTTGGAAGCTTTTGCACCACTGGAAAAAATGACAACAAGCTTTTATACATAAGAATGTGTGTAATTCTCCCTCGCATCTTAGTACAATGGAGTAATGCCTCTTACTTTTTTCTTCAAAACAAAACTTTTAACAATTTCTAATATTTATCTAAATGTTCTGAAATGATTCCGTTCTTTTTAAAAATAAAAGTAAAATCAAAAGCAATTTTTGAGAAGTTGATCGGTCTTTCCCACCTTGTCAAAAATTGTTTCTAATAAAAATTCAGTGCACTTAAAACACTTTTATCCAGACATTCTTTAAAAGAATAAAAGCGGTTTTAAGGAGTATACCAAAACACCATATAAAACTAGTATCATGTGTAACACTTTGAAAAAAGGTACTGGACTATAAACTAGTCCCTCAAGAGTCAAATAGAATACAACAAGTACATATAGGTAAAATTAGTAGTTATTTTTCAAAAATAGGTAAAATTAGTAGTTATTTTTCAAAAATATTAAATCCTACATCTCATACTTAAGTTTTTAATTTGACTTCATGAGTTTTAATCAAAGTACTTTATATGCACTTGTGAATATACATTATCTCAAAATTGTGATTGAGAAAACTAACAATTAGTTATGTACTTTTCATTGGGTAAAGAGTACTTACCATTCAAATGTTTTAACAAATTGAACTAGTAACTTGATTTTGTAACATCTCAAAAAGGATGATATAGTAACTTGATTTTGTAACATCTCAAAAAGGATGACAAAAAAACATCTCAAAAAGCTATGGAAAGTGTGAACTTAACTGTGAGAGGGAGTATATAGGTTTGTTAGTTGACAAAAAATTTGATCACTTTGCAACAGCAAAAATTCTAGATCAATATGTCAACTATTATAGTGGACAAAGGGATAGGGATCTACCCAAAACTTACCGCGCAGTAGTTTTCCATCAAAATAATCCCTACAAAATTTAAATTTATAATAGTTTTTAAAAAATAAAGGGAGTAGTTAGCCCAAAGAAACATCACAAACAGTAAAGTATTTAAACATTATTTAGTCTCTCTTTAAGAACCGTCACATGTTTGTAATACAATTAATTTTTTATACTTATTTTAAAGCATAGTGGTTCTGATTCATAAGATAGAAGCCTCCACAAATCAGAAAATTGTAATTTTTTCGTGCATGTCCAATTATTTCTTTGTAAGAATAGCTGAGCACATTTTGAAAATGTACTTTTAAGATTTTATTTATTTATACCATCATGCATTACAACTAGGGATGTAAACGAGCCGAGCCGAGCCCGATCTGGGATATGCTCGAACTCGAGCTCAGAATAATTTTAATGGCTCGAACTCGAGCTCGAACGAGCATTATAATACTGGATCGAGTTCGGTTTGTGAATATTTAATATGGCTCGAGCTCGGCTCGTTGGGCTCGGTAGGCTCGAATTTTCACGTTCGCGAAGTCAAGCTTGTGCTCGAAAATCAAATAAAGTAACCAATTTTTATGTTATAACAAGAAACTAATGTACACTAAAAGGTCCAAACATGAGTTTTAAATTGAACAACTTGTTTAATATCACAACAGTTGTTCTAAACTCCAATGCAAAAAATAATAACACTAGTTATAGTTCGTTGAGCAAAGAGGAAATTGAGTAAAGAAAAGCGTTGGGCATTCAAAAGTGCTTTTCAACTCCAAGTTCCATGTATGTTGTCATCCAGATTGTATTAACAACAAACATCCTTGCTAGAGAAAAAATACCCTTACTAATCTACACAATTTAAAACAACATATCAAACATGATAGTTTCTTGTATTATCTTAACAGAAATCAAACATTAAGAATGCAATAGTACGCCATA